AATCTCAAGAAATGAATATTTAAATACATTAGATCAATATCCTCACATTGTGCTATGATTATTCTATCATGTCAATTTTTGTACATATTTGACCTCTTGTTACACAATAATGTGTCTGAGTAAAATAAAAACCGGACGTCAACAACACTGTATGATCAAAGTGTCGTTTGGACACGTTAATGTGAGTATTTAAATATCTTCATGTTTATTTTAGCGGCGAGTATAAGTTAAACGTCGCAAGAATTGAAAGGCTGTTGCATAATCTCCAGGAATTGTTACCAAATGTTATTTTGGTAGATTTATAGAACAGTAGAAGTGTGTGTTACGTTTGAGGAGACTCTATTGGACTAGATCTGTAAACACAACATGGTCGTAACGTTTTGTGATTAAGTCTGGGTATATTCAAGAATAAACCGCTATATCTCTGTACCGTACACAAAGGATCCAACATACTCTGTAGACCAAAGTTATCATACACACATTCAAATGTACAACGAGTGTAGTTTATCCACTGATTTATGACTAACTAGGAAGTGTTCAAAAGCCATATATATATATATATGAACAGAGTTAAAACAAAGAACAACGTACACGTGTGTCGTGACAGGTCACACGTATATGAACATATATAACATCAAGGGGACCTGCCGCCTACTAGACGGGGAGTAGAACTGATAACCGGACTTAAACAAAAACATGTTGATATGATAATTGAATAACATTTGACGAACCCTAATAGGAAATTATACTGACGTTTTGATAAATATTGTAAGCTACCAAAAAGGAAAAATAACAAATCGTGCTGTATTAGATGATTTCCTATCTGAGTTAATTAGTTTAGAGATGTCGAGAGGTTTCATGATAATATCAATTCTCCCATATCTACGAGAATATATGTCCAAAAGGAGACATAAATTATCCTAATAAGTAAATGCAGATCAGGGCATAGCTACGGGGCAGTTAGCTATTAGCAACCTGGGATAAACTGACGGCCAATGGACCATCAGGCAGGCACCAATGAAAGCATACATCTAAAGCACAGGGACCTGAGACTTTGTTACATATATATTTGGACATAAACCAGGGTGTTCAGGGTAATTTTACATGTTTTAGGGGTTTAGTTTTGTTATAGAAGTTGGCAAGGGAAGGTCAGGTAGTCTAGCTATTATGTAGTTGACCGATATCGTATATAATCATTGGGGGTGGCATTTTTACCGAAAGTCGATCTAAACCCTTAAAACATGTAGGTCCAAATATAGCTGTAACAAATTTTCAGGTACTTGTGATATGTTCCTCTGTTATGTGTGACCTGCCCCGACACACGTATGCGTTGTTTTAAATCTCTCTACATGTAGATAAATATGGCGTTGGAACAATTCTTTATACATGTATATATATGGAGATAAACTACAATCGTTGTACATTTGAATGTGCCTATGGTTACTTTGGTCTACAAAGTGTGTCGGATCCTTCGTGTACGGTACAGAGAATTGGAGGTATATTCTTCAATACACAAATGATTTTCTCAGTACGATACACACATACTTGATTACAAAAACGTCACGAGCATGTTGTGCTTATAGATCTAGTCCACAAAACTGTAAAATAGAGTCTCAGACGTCTATTGTACCCCACAGTCTACCCCAACAGTATTTGGTAACAATTTCTGGAGATTATGTAACAAACAGCCTTCAATTCTTGCGACGTTTAACTTATACTCGCCGCTAAATTAAATATGAAGATATTTAAATACTCACATTAGCGTGTCCAAATGACACTTTGATCATACAGTGTTGTTGACGTCCGGTTTTTATTTTACTCAGACACTTTTTTGTGTAACAAGAGGTCACATATGTACAAACATTGACATGATAAAATACAGTCATAACACTATGTGATAATATGCCTACATGTGACATAACACGCACACTACACACTAAAATAAACCTTTCATTTTTGTGGTATCAGTGAACTTAAGGAGACAGTTTGAATTCGTTTACCTGTATTTATCTGTAGATGAAGTATTGTACTTCTCTAGTTCCGTTATCCGTGTACATTATGTTCGCTTGATAACATATCGTAAACAATTGATACATTATTATTTTTCATGATACTGTTGAAACTGATTCTATTCTGATTTGTTTTCTAGGTAATCGCTTATTCAATACGCCTGGTTTTATTTTGGTTTGTGTTCTCAGTAACCGCTTATTCGGCAAGTCTGGTTTTATTCTAATTCGTTGCATTATGCATACGAGGGCATTTCGATAAATTATGTCATTAGTATCAATGAGTGTAACCACTGGATATCGCGGATGGGTGGAAACTAAAGGAGTTGGTTATCTTACATAAAAAGTGTTATTCTCATACATGTTAGATCATCCTCGATATCCAGGGGTTACGCTCACTTCCGCTCTCTGCACCCCTGGGATATGTCATAGCAAAAGTGAAGGCACGAAGACAGCTGTTTGATTGGTCTCGGGTAAAAAATCTGACCAATCGCTAGGCTGATTCTTGTGATGTTTATCAAATGATCGAACTAGTCGTCTTGTCTCATCATCAAGGTGGCGCATACCGAGCATTCAATTTTGCTATGACCTATTCCAGCGGTGTAGAGAGCGAATGTGAACTGTCTCACACAGAGGACCCAGGCCAGTTATGATCATTGATTCATTGTAGTTGACACCGTTGTAAGTGTCGGATTGCTTCTTAATGTGCTTTAGGGTGTAATCCACTCCACTTCCGGTTGCATTTGGAAGCATTGAGAGTAGACATTAATTACTCGATACTAGTGAAATTTGTGTACATGAGCAGTAGGTGGTAAACATCCTATTTTCATTTAAAATAGGGTATTCAGTTATAAAAAAATACTAACAGACCTTTATAAATCACAAGTATCAGAAAAAGGGGTCATTATACTATTTAATAAGTATACACACACTGTGATTAATTGATTTCAGATTTGTCAATGAACTTTACTTAAAAAGTGAAGATATTAAAAGGTTGCATGGGTTTAAAAAATGATAAATTTAAATTGATATTAGGGAAGCCTTTATGTGTTTCCCCAGCTAGTTAGTAGAAGCTTGGTCCCAAACTTGTTGTGATTTTCAAAGTGTTTGCTTAACCCGGTCTTAAAAGAAAACAGGGATGAGGCATTTACCACTTGGTCAAAGAGACCATTCCAGTTGTTTATAATTCTTAACTTGTATGAGTGGCCACGTAGATTACTTCTACACCTTAGTTTTTCTAGTTTCTTGTTGTGTCCTCTGGTTGTTCTTGTTACATTAATTTTGAGAAAGTCGTCTTTGATGTTATCTATCCCATTTATTAAATTGAAAGCTTGTACCATGTCTGACCTAAGTCTCCTGTACTCCCTAGTCGGTAGCCCAAGAGCTTTGAGTCGTTCATGATAGGATAGGTCTTTGATACCAGGGACCACGTTAGTGGCTCTCCTTTGGACATAAGCAAGGGTGCCCAGAGCGTAGTCAGAAGGAATAACGACAAGTTACTACGTATGCACCAGGTGGCGCTACATCACCTGGGCATCATTTCTTTTCTTGACGCTGCACCCGTCAGGAGAGTCTCACGATCTGTCAACGGAAGACCCAGTTTTGACTAAATTGGACGCAATCCAGACCCGTCTGGACGACACCACCGCAAGGGTTACTTTCTTCACAAGAGGAGAAAAGAAATTAACCTGGGCATCATGTTCATGTTATGTGATTTTTCGCAGTCTAACAGATATTACTTCAGAGGTCCTTAATACGGTCTGACTATAGGGTTATGAACATAGCCTTATTTACACAGCTGAAGGTCCTAAAAAGCATTCTTACATGTCTGTTTGCTTTGGCTACTGACAGATTTACATGTTCACTAAACTTCTAAACTAAAGTGTCTATAGTACCATATAGATCCCTTCCACTGTTACTAACAGTTTGTAATTTGTGTACGTCCCCCTGGTTGATATGGTAACCAAATCTGGGCATATCACGTTTTGAAAAGAAAAAAGAAAAAAAATGTATTCAAAATGTTGTTTATAAATATATCGATATGTGTAGGTGAGTTGTGCAGGATGAATCCAATATCAATGTTTATCTGAAACATGTCCATTATTTTTCGGATCCGGTCGTTTCTACTGTACTCTGCTACCTATAGACGAATTTGTTAGCACAAAACTAGTTTTAGTTTCGAACTGGTTTTGTAAACTTTCTATTTTTTAATAAAACCCAGTTTAAGACTAGTTTTAAATGAAATTGGTTCGGAAGACTGATAAAACCGCACCCGGTGTGGTTTGGTAATTGGTTTCCCAATGAAAATATCTAACACCACGGGTACCTGTTACGTGCAAGACGGGGACCATACACATTTATATATAGCACATATACCTGTCACACACAGATTAACCAGGCATATACATGTATATATACAAAACGCTGTCATGTCACACAAAACACGGGTACCAGGATATTTTTTTTATGTACATATTATATACAACACATGGTCTTGTCACACAAAAGACAGGGACCAAACATATTCATTTACAACACAGGAACCTGTCACACAAAAACAGAGGCTCCAATCATAATGATACAGCACAGGGACAGGTATACAATACAGCCGCCTGTCAAACAAAATAGAGACCAGTCATTGTATATAATACTAGCCATACTATGATGACCAACTCGCATCTTAACAGTTTTATTATCGCAGTGAATATAATGATAAATTAAGATCTACACCCTCATAATCACAGTGAATATAATGATAAATTCACATGGTTACACTTTCAGTATCACGGTGAATATAATGATAAATTCACATCGTTACACTTTCTGTATCACACTGAATATAAAGATAGATTCACATCGTTACACTTTCTGTATCACACTTAATATAAAGATAAATTCACATCGTTACACTTTCTGTATCACACTGAATAAAAAGATAAATTCACATCGTTAAACTTCAATATCGCATTGAATACAGTGGTAAAGAATTCATACCTTACATGTATATATATCCCGTTTTTGCTTGCTTCTTTTCCACTTCTGTCCGGTCCCTGTCCTCCTAGGGTTAATATATCGCCTGGTTAGTTCACGTTTTGATATAGAAGTACTCACTAGTCCGGTAGCCGAGCTGTTATGCAGTTGACCGCTACCTGACCAGAATGTATATATATATACGAGAGTTTAAATACATTGATTTGAATGGAAGAAGATAACAGTTGAGCAATAACCACTCTGTGTATATATGTGTGGTCGGGTGTGACAACCAATTGACCCGCTAGTTTAACCCGCTAATAATCGTAGTGTTAGAACAAATTAAAGCCTACAGATCCAGGACGCACACCCTACCGCTTCTCCCAAGCCTGAGCGGTACCGAAATTAATACTCAAACGTTATTTATTTATTAAGTTCGTACTTAAGTTGTACCTTGAGAATTGACAACTTCCTAAAACCCTCTAGAGTGTAATATAAGCCAGCAAACTTTGACTCGTGGAAGCTGACAATCCATTGGGTACACTTTCATGGGCCACTGTGATGTAGCCCAGTATCACATAAAGAGATTATTTACTTACATAACTCCCTTTAAATCGGTCAGCACCCGACAATGTATTTCTCTCTAGTGAAAGTTTGGCGGACGCTAATGAGATGACCTAAAACCGATGTCCAACGATGTGCCTTTTTTGGGGTCAAGTGGTGACTATTTTGGCTTGGTTTGGTTTGTTTGTGCTGTACGTCCTATTAACAGCTATAGTCATTAAGGAAGAGCCAGGTTTTTGAAGCAAGAGAAGGTACAGATTGACCACCACCCTATTCACCAGATCTAAGTCCCTGTGACTTCTGCCTGTTTCCTTGATTGCAGAAAATGCTCTCGGGGGGAATGATGTGCCTCGAGGATTGCTCTTAGTTGTGCAATCTTGCAGGGTCTCGACAGTTTACCAAGGGGTATACCTCGAAGGATTGTAATAGAAAGGTAAAACTTTATACATGATACATGTGATTTGAAACTAATTTTTCGAAATGCCCTCGTATGCATAATGCAACGGATTAGAATATACTGCGAACACAAACCAACATAATACCAGACGTATTGAATTAGCGAATACCTAGAAAACAAACCAGAATAGAATCAGTTTCAACAGTATCATGACACATAATAATGTATCAATTGTTTACGATATGTTATCAAGCAAACATAATGAACACGGATAAGGGAACTAGAGTAGTACAATCCTTTATCTACAGCTTAATACAGGTAAACGAATCCCTAAGTTCCCTGATACCACAATAGTGAAAGGTTTATTTTAGTGTGTAGTATTCGTGTTATGGCACATGTAAGTATATTTGTTTCCAAACAACATACAATACCTACACCCATCTTTGTAGCCCAAAAACAAAAGATTTAAATATCCCTACCTTCCTACCGTGACGTAACCAATATCTCGATGATAGACGAATACAGGGTGGGACTCTATAAAGTTATGGTAAGTATTACATCATGAAAATTGATTTTACTTCAAAAACCCCAATTTCATTTCAGTAATAATTACCATATCTTTAGTATGCGAATTCGTCTTGCCGTAGTGGAGGCTTCGAATCCAAGCAGACCAGGCTGACGGAACAAACTTGAGACATGCTCAAGGTAGGTAAAAGGTTCGAGAACCCCCCTCCCCCTGGAACGAGCAGGTTCACACCGTGGTGCCTGATAGCATACTATTTAAACAAAATCACTGAATTACAGTGGAGGAACATCCACAGACTGTGCAACCACCACCGGTCCAAGGGACTACAATCCATCAGAATGAAAAGCTAAGGACCGGAGATAAAAATCCGTGAAGGTAGTCTGTCCGCGCAAGAAAGCCGCGGACTTGACTTCCTGAAAGGGGGACCCATTGAGGAGGGCCCATGACGCAGCAAGGGCCCTGATCCCATGAGCTCTCACCTTATACAACGCCCGAATCTGATCATCTGAGTGGTCGTAACCGTACTTGATGACCTGACAGATCCATCTAGACACTGACTGAGAGGAGATATCCTGCTGACCCTGATTAATGGCCAAGAACAGAGATCGAGGACCACGCCCTCCCCCCCCCCCCCCCCCCCCCATCCCAACAGGGACAGAGCAGCCTATCCCGTTCCTCAGACCCAACGAAGGCAGTCGAAGACGGAATCTTAATAGGAACGGGCGAGAAGCCAGGAACCTGATTCTTAGCCATGAAGGCAGGATCAGAGAGAAGGGTAACAGCAGAGCAATTCCTGGACCACTGGAGGCAAGAAGGGTAAGAAGATAAGGCATGAATCTCACTCCTCCTTCGACATGAGGCCAGGGCAATAATGAATACCGCCTTGTAGGTAATAAACTTCAAGGATGCAGACGCTTGTGTCGGGGCAGGTCACACTCAACAGAGGAACACATCACCAGGATCTGATAACTTGTTACAGCTATATTTGGACCTAAACTAAGGTGTTAACAGGATCCTTACATGTTTTAGGGGTTTAGATCGACTTCCGGTGACACCTTGTATATGTAATCATTTGGAGTGTCATTTTTTACCGTAATGTTCGTGTTATTTCACATGGAAAGCAATTTATTAGAAAATCTCAAGAAATGAATATTTAAATATTTTAGATCAATATTCTCCCACAGTGCGATGACTGTATTTTATCATGTCAATGTTTGTACATATATGACCTCTTGTTTCACACTAATATGTGTGTTAGTAGAATACAAATTATCAAAGTGTCATTTGGACACGTTAATGTCACTATTAAAACACTTTTTTGTTTAATTTAGCGGCGAGTATAAGTTAAACGTCGCAAGAATTGAAAGTATGTTACATACGGACGAATGCTATACTGTAAGCTACCAGAAAGGGAAAATAACAAATCGTGCTGTATTAGGAGATTTCCTATCTGAGTTAATCAGTTTAGAGATGTCGAGAGTGTCATGATAATATCTTTTCTACCATATCTACGAGAATATATGTCCAAAAGGAGACATAAATTATCCTAATAATTAAGTGCAGATCTGCCAAAACTGTACAGACCGGTATCAGGGCATAGCTACGGGGCAGTTAGCTGTTAGCAACCTGGGATAAACTGACGGGCAATGGACCATCAGGCAGGCAAAAATGACAGCATACATGTATAATGCTGTCCAGTACAGGGATGCGTATCTCGGTTAATTTAGTATATGTATACGTACGACAAAGTAGAACTCTAAAGCACAGGGACCTGATAATTTGTTACAGCTATATCTTGAGCTAAACTAAGATGTTCTGAGTAATTTTACATGTTTTAGGGGTTTAGTTTTGTTATAGAAGTTGGTAAGGGAAGGTCAGGAATTCTAGCTATTATGCAGTTGACCGCTATTGTATATAATCATTAGGTGTGGCATTTTTACCGAAAGTCGATCCAAACCCTTAAAACATGTAAAATTACTCTGAACACCTTAGTTTAGGTCCAAATATAGCTGTTACAAATAATCAGGTCCCTGTGCTCAATAGTAGAAGGAGACGGAGAGCGGATCAGAGCGAGAAGGGGATTGAGAGCGGGACAGAGCGAGGCAGAACATCAGAGAAGGTATATATTGACCGATACAATGCTGTGTTTGGTGCCTTCGGCATGACATTCAGTGAGATAGCACTATAAAGTCGGCATCATATCCGCGCTATAACAAGGAGGCAAACAAACCAACATAACCTGTATCCACGCATACACTACACACATGGATGCACGTCCTTAAATGACAGTATCGCAGTGAATACAATGATAAATTCACATCGTTACACTTTCAGTAGCAAAGTGAATATAATGATAAGTTCACATGGTTACACTTAAGTATCACATTGAATACAATGGTAATTCGCATCGTTACACTTTCGGTATTGAAGCGAATATAATGATGATACAACACGTCATCAATCGAAAACAACCTCTTTGTATTCTTAATGAGTAGTCAAACCATTGGCTCTGCATCCTTCCGTTTCAATGTATTGAGAAGGCAAATGTTGTTATGAGACTATAACAATATTTGCTATTGTAACGTCATCAATCTCTATTGTGACGTCATCAATTTCATTGTTGTCACTACTTGATTTGCTGTTGAAAAACAGTTCGAAATAACTAAATAAAGCATCACTTCTCTATCAAAATGTAAAAATAAGTAATGAATATTTAGCAAATATTGTAATGTTTTTTTAACGCACATTTTTATTTCTGACAAACTTACATGAAGCCCTACCGATATATTGTTATCCTTATTTAATTTATCCACGTATTTGAACATATCAATCTCCTCTGGGTATCACTGTTTTTTCCGATTCGTCTATATCCTTTTTAGTTTTCTCTCCTAAACACTCGCAGAGTTGGTTAATCTCATACTAATTATTTCCATAAGTTATACCCAAAAATACAATTGAGCACTAGTTGCTACTACATTGCGAGGAGCCGCCTATTGTTTTATAACTCTGAGTAACTGTGTAAATGTTTTCATTGTTGTCCTGCTCTACACCATGTAACAACAGTTTCTATTCACGTGACCTCCGTCCTGGTATATGACTTTCCCTTCCTTTCGACCTGTCCCTTCTAGCACATTCTCTTGTCACTCCGAGGCTTTGTTTCAACTCTCTGATATCTTTCTTCAGTGTAACTTCTAGGTTACTTCTACTTTGTTCAATTTCGAACATGATTGTTTTTAAATCTTTGCTAAACAATATCAACTTGCGATCTAAATGATATCAACCTACCATGTAAACAGTATCATCTTCCTGTTTAAACAATATCAACTCGTTATCTGAAAATATCAATCCGCTATCTATAATAACCTTGCTTTCAAAACAATATTAACTCGATAGCTAAACGATACCGCCTTGCTATTTAAACAACTCACGTCACTATTTAAACCATATCACACAGATATCTAAACAATATCAACCTGCTATTTAAACAGTATCAACTTGCTTTCTCGAAAACCGTTTCATATTATCAGTTCAACAATATCACATTGCTTTCTATAAAATGTTACCTTACTATTGCTATCACCCGTTGCTTCTTCCTTTTCCACTATCATGCTCTTTGTCTTTCTCTTTTTTGCTCTCCCTTCATCAGATATCACAACAAATATCACAAGCTCCCATCAGATATTTGTATTCAGTGATAGTAACGTGAACCCCGGAGACCATATTTCCGTGTTGTTTCCGGCTGTTTCCGGTATACGGCATGTCGTGAAAATTGAACTGATATTTTATTCACATTTGGTATTCCATAAACTCTCAAACTATTCATTAGACTTTAAAATGTGTCTGAATGTGGAGCTATTAATTCAACTGTAAATAGTGTTTCCGTTTCGAATTTTGAAAATAAAAAGATTGTTTCCATATAGAGCAGTTAACTAACTTTAAGCAATGTTTGAATGGCCGGCTGTTCTAGTTAGGATTTAAACAGGGTATGGCAACATCGAAACTGATGTTGCAAAACTACGGTAGTTTTGCCTATCTGTTCTTCAATAGGGCCGAATATTTGCATCATGTCATCCTCAATACTCCAGGGGCTACACCCACTGTCGCTCTCTACACCCTGGAATATGTCGTAGCAAATATATCAACCTGTACCTTTAGATGCTATTACTTGGTTGAGACAGGAAGGTAACATAACGCCAGTTGTCGCAATACCCCCATCCTCCATACTCCAGGGGTTAAACTCGCTTTTGCTCCCTGCACCTCTGAAATATGGCATGACAAAATCGATGGCTTAGTGTAACCACCTTGTGGATGAGACGAGAAGACTAGTTTGATCCTTCGGTGAACATCCAAAGAATTTGTTGGTCGCGTAACGGTAAAATTGACTCGGTTGTCGTTCCATTGCTATCTTCAAGGGCAGTTATTAGCCTTAGCGCGTAGTCGGCGTTTTTTTTAAAAATCTGAGGCCAATCAAATAGCTAGTCACGTGCCTTCATTTTTGCTAGGCTATATAATCCAGTGTTGCAGATAATAATAGTGACTATAACTCCTGAAGTATCGAGGATGGCGGAATGTATATCCTATTCAAACACGGTACCTAAACGCTGCTCACCCATAGTGTTATGTCAAATAAATTAACCTGGATGATCCTGAATACGAGATATAGCATTTACTTTGTTTTTTTGGTACCTGAGATATACATTTTTTGAAATCTTTTTGAAATGAACACAGCTGTCAGAAAATCAGAATATATGCGTTTATTTCCCCACTGAGGTGGTTAAGTACCTGAGCTTTTGGTAAGTTCTTACTCCAAATCCTCAGACAACTGTAGTCCAGCTGGACATGTCGTAACTGGCTGTCTAAATATTTTCCAGATACAAAGCAAAGGTAGCTTTACACGAATGATCCGTAGAAATAAGAAACTTTTACTATCAACAGGTAGGTGAAATCCAACATATCGATCGGTTCTGTGACGCATGACAATGGACAAGACAAAACCCTGGTGAATTGGATTCTCTGTCAGAGTGAGTCAAATCTTTCATTCCATACACCCCAATGTCTAAACAACGATCACCATTTAAGCTATGTATTTGTGTCTGCAGACAAAGCATCTAATTTAACATTTACTGCTTGCTAAAATACCTAGCCCTGTATGTAACCAAGGATACACATACATTTTCCAGTGTTTTGAAAGACGAAACACCAGCTAATGTTATGAACACGTACCTGTCTCGTTCGTACTGGATTCACAAACTTCACAACGTTGTGTCTTTTATGTGATATATTGAAATGCTAGAATTTCAATCAAACCATCTAAACTGATTCTTATATTTTGTTCTTGGTACAGCGTATATATAATAGTGTGTACAGAGAGCGTTAAGGTTAATGGTAAAGTAGCATTTCCAGTTTCTCCCAATAATACTGCTTCTAATCTGAAATTAATTAATTCATCTATATTGTGGTATATTTTTGTTTTTTATATCTTGCCAAAGTTTGAAAGATTGACACATTCCCAGAAAGTATGTTATATAGTTTCAATGTCTGTGTTACACGTATCACAAATGTCATAATTCGAAACACCAATAGTTTTTAAGGAATGCTTTTGTGGGAGGATACGACCCTCTAACCGGTATTGAACCACTCTAGTGTTGTATCTTTTGTACTTTTGAAAGAAGTCATACACGACCGTTTTCAGACTATGCCTCTAAAACTGATTTCCATTTCCTTTCAACTGTTTTCACACATTTACGTTTACTATCTAGTGTATTAAACATTCATACACTTCTTGGTTTACATTGCTATGGTTTCCTATATACGGTCTTTCGACAGTGTTTAAGCAGTAAAATTCAAGTTACATTGCCTATATCTTTACTTAATTGATTGGCATATAATGATCAATTACGAAGTTTTCCGAACCGATATTGAATTTTAGATTGATGTCTGTAAAGGAAAAAATAATTGTCTTTGTCAGGAAGATTACACAGTTTTAAACACTTTTTTATCCATTTTTTGATAAAAAAAACCAACAACCCACCAACATATTTTAATTGAAGAAAATTGGTCAATACCAAATAAGAAGTGTATAAAACTGCTCAATAGTTTGAACTTGCAGTTGTGTTTCTTCTGAAATGTCTACCCATGCATAACAAACATTTTTTTCTAAAAGACATTTCTGTTCTTAAATTCATTTAGTGAAATTAGTACCTTTGATATGTTGATGTCGGGGAAACGTTCTGTTTCAAAACTATCGGTGCAGCATCTATCATTATCTTGAGTAATCCTCAGGCTGGTTACACAATGTTTAACATAAAACATTTTAAGATCTCCATTTACATAGCTGTGGACAATAAAGACTCCTTTAGATTTGTCCACTCGTGATTTTTAATGTCAAATTGAAGAAAGTATTGTTCAACGGTTTAGTAAAATGTCCGGTGTAGAAACAGATATGCATAGAAAGTTCAGTTTTGATAAAAGGTTTGTTTAAATAGTGTTAACTGACTAAGGTGTTTTAAAATCCTGCGTCATCTAGATAAACTAAAAAATAAACACCTTGCCAATAGAATTTTGCCAACCCGAACCCCACTTATTCTCAATTTCAGCTTCCATCTTCCCTGCTACCGATCTAGATGACTTTAGTTTTATCATTATCTTCTTTAAGTCCTGATATTTTACAAAAGCAATTTAAAATATGCAACGCTTCGTTTAATAAGTTTCTGGATCACGTGTACACTATTTATCGTCGTCATCATCATCATCATCATCATCATCATCATCATCATCATCATCATCATCATCAACACTATTTCATGATAATTATCGTACTCATTATCTTTTAGCATCTCACCATTCATCTTCATCATCATCATCATCATCATCATCATCATCATCATCATTATCATTCATTACACTATTCCATCATCATCATTATCGTTTCATAATTATCATCATCATCATTACACTACTTCATCATCATCATTATCATCATCATCCTCTTCAAACCATTATAACATCATCTCACCATTCATCATCATTATAATTACCTCAGCATAATCAAGTCATAACATCACCATAAATATAATATACAGAGATTCGATACGTTTCCTAGCTGTCAGAGACGCGATAAGTTTCCTAGTTGCCAGGGATTCGATAAGTTTCCTAGTAGCCAGGGATTCGAAAAGTTTCCTAGCTGTCAGGGATTCGATAAGTTTCCTAGCTGTCAGAGATTCGATACGTTTCCTAGTTGCCAGAGATTCGATAAGTTTCCTAGCTATCAGGGATTCTATAAGTTTCCTAGGTGCCAGGGATTCGATAAGTTTCCTAGTTGCCAGGGATTCGATACGTTTCCTAGTTGCCAGGGATTCGAAAAGTTTCCTAGTTGCCAGGGATTCGATACGTTTACCAGTTGCAGGGGAATCGATAAGTTTCCTAGTTGTCAGTCATTCGATAAGTTTCATAGTTGTCAGGGATTCTATAAGTTTCCTAGTTGCCAGGGATTCTATAAGTTCCCTAGTTGCCAGGGATTCGATAAGTTTCCTAGTTGCCAGGGATTCGATACGTTTCCTAGTTGCCAGGGATTCGACAAGTTTCCTAGTTGTCAGTCATTCGATAAGTTTCCTAGATGTCAGGGATTCTATAAGTTTCCTAGTTGCCAGGGATTCGATAAGTTTCCTAGCTGTCAGGGATTCGATACATTTCCTAGTTGCCAGGGATTCGACAAGTTTCCTAGTTGCCAAAGATTCGATAAGTTTCCTAGTTGTCAGAGTTTCGACAAGTTTCCTAGCTGTCAGAGATTCGATAAGAGGAAGGGAAACAGGGGTCGATGCTATTTGCTTCCAGTTTTTTAACAAAGGGTTTTGTTGCTACGCATTTTGGTGTATGTACATTTTGAATGCAAGAAACTCATTATGAAAACTACGGGATACAGCGTAGGCTATCGTATAGTGACATGATTGATAAACTACGGGATACAGCGTAGACTATCGTATAGTGACATGATTGATAAACTACGGGATACAGCGTAGACTATCGTATAGTGACATGATTGATAAACTACGGGATACAGCGTAG